ACGTACAACCACGCCAGTTGTCTCAATGACAGACTTTATGATACAGCGCGCACGTGCTAACCATTCAGCCATCCAACCCCCCTTGGATTATTGAACCTTTGTTAATTATCGTGACAGTAGTAATAATGACAATCGAGTCTACAGTGGTTTCAAAATAAGGTTTTCTCGGTTTAGAGTGAATCAATTTGACTGAAATTTTCAGCATTTTACATTTACATTATCCAGCTTTTAACTATGATAATGAGAACTGTCAGCTCTCTACCTTATCTTCCATAATGTATCTTTAAAGTTACAATTTCATATTTTTAAGTTATATTTTTAAAATGTATTAAAATAAAGCCCTAAAATAGATAGTATCTATAAACAGTCCTACCTTGTTAAAGAATAATCCTATTAATCCTATAATTCACTTGCCAGTTGAGAAATTGGCAAAAATATCATTCTCAACTTCAAATTCAAACGTTTGAAGATAGCTACTCCATGGTGGAGAATAGAAAACAAGGGAGGTAATTGGGAGGTAATTATGTTATTATTTCCGGTGTAAATGAGTTTTAAGTGTGAGAATGACACGTATGATCGTATAATAGTGAATTGATAAGCCATTTAGCAAAAGACAGAAATAATTCTGTTTTGACTTTCTTAGAAAATATGAAATTGTAACTACAAGCTAAATCATGCATCGTCAAATTTTCTCCCCTCAGAACGGGAATTGGAAATTATAAGGGATCTCCATTATTTAATTAGTGAATAAAATCAAATGTCTTTGTTGATGGCGATTGTCATAAGAATGTATTTTACATTTTACAATCCCATCATTAATATTTTCGTGGACAACAAAATGGCGGCATAGCGAGTAATTTCAATTCCACATATATTAATACCTACTGGACGGAATTGGACCATTTCATTTTGTTGGGGGATCAGCCATTAGAAGCCATAGTTTCATTTCATTCTCGATGAAATTTTGGGAGATTGGAGATTTGAAGAGATCTTATCATACAACTAGTGAATACGAGACCTTTATCTTTCAGAACCGATGTCCCGTGTATACATTGTAATGCACGTAAAAGATCCCTTGGCAGTTGGAATTCGATATAAGAGTAGGCGATAGTGCCGCTGCCCGGGCAAAATATCCCTCATAGCACACTGTATGGCTTATGCCCGTCTTCATTAGCCCAGTATAGGAGCAGAATAGTAGGACGTTAAACCCCATTTCATTTTATCTTTCAGCTAATAAAACGGGGACAATGGCGACTTCTTCCGGTAATTTCACAATGCCTGTCAATGACTCGGGGAGAATTCAGCGCCATTATGACTACTTTCTCGAGAGAGTGTTCAATCCCGGTGACCTGATCACCAACTTATTCTCTAAAGGTGTTCTTGATCTTGACAGAAAAACCCGTATACTTAATACAGAGACCGGTAGACCTAGAGTAGAAAAGCTATTGGACATCTTAATGACAGAATGTGGTGATTGTTATCAGATATTCCTAGAGACTTTAAGAGAAAGGGGTTTTGGACCTATAGCAGATACATTAGGTAAGATATCATTTGTAGTACCTATCCACACAATCATCGGATTAACATAAAGGATTGGTCGTAATGGCAAATGTCGTCGAATCACAAGTCGAACGTAGTTAATCTGGATTTAATTGATTTATTGTTATTCCCCCTGTCTATAATGTTGGTGTGAAATCGCCATCAATTTCATTAGACCGATCGTCCGTCCTCTTCGTTTCCAGAGTAGAAAGCGAACAACATTCACTATTTTTATAGAAAATTATTTAAACTCACCAATCGCGTGTTGTGGTGATGCCCTGTAATATATTGTCTATTTTTATGTGCATACAATTAGACTTAGTCTGGCCTTGAAGTGGGTCTCATTTCCGGATCGGATCTCGAGAATCATGTAATATTTCTTCCATTCTACACACATCTCCTAGTGTTCAAGTGTGTTATTTACCATTCAAAATTTTTAATTTTCCTTTTAAATGCGTACTGTTTAACATATTCGTGGAGAATGAATTCGCCTTAAATCCTTGAAAACATAATTCATGAGAGTTATTCCCCCTTGTTCGGAAATCTGATATATTATCTAAAAAGGGAGAGTGAGTGAAATGGAGTTAAACGTCCATTCGACAAAACTAGGTCATTTCGAAACTAACATATGGTTGAATTTTATTTCAATAATTCGCTAGCGCGTAGGGTCTTTAGCGGTGGGAGGAAACCGACGGAAGCGGAGAAAACCCACGAGGCTGGACAGGCGACTCTATTCCTTGCCATGTACAAGCGGCGGCGATTCGAAACCACACCGCTTGACTCCAAGACAGACCTTGTGATCAAACATGCACACGTTAACCATTCGGCTACCCAAACACCCTATATATACAAAGATTTGTCTATTAAAGATCAAAAATCGTGGGATCGGATCGAAACTTTATGGATTATGGCCTCTGATTGTACGAAAAATCACGTTGTTAGCTTGTGGACCTTCTAGAGGTCACAATTTTGAGCCGATTTTGATGAAACTTGAAATGAATTTTTATAACCCAAAGATCTTGGTTCCTTTCGATATTTGCGCATATCTGATCGTAACTTTCCGGATTATGACCTCTGATTGTTCGAAAAATCGCCCTTTTAGCTTGTCGTCTATCTGGAGGTCACAATTATTATCCGATTTACAAAACCGTTTAAATATCTCACCGTTACACCGTAAGGTTGGTTGAGTTCGAATTTCGTACAAATCGGACCGAAATAGCCGGACAAAATAACCGTCGCTTGTACGCTTAGTGTAAATAAATGGTATATCAAGGTTGTGGACCCTGCAGAGGTCACAATTTTAATTCGATTTTGACGAAACTTGAAATGCATGTTTATAACCCAACGATCTTGGTTGCCTTAGATATTCGTGCATAACGGATCGTAACTTCCTGAATTATGGCCCCTGGTTGTACGAAAAATCGCGTTTTTAGCTTGTGGTTCCTCTAGAGGTCGAAATAATAATCCGATTTAAAAAACGTTCAAACATTTCCTAATCGTTACACCGTAAGGTTGGTTGAGTTCGAATTTCGTGAAAATCGGACCAAAACTGCAAACAAAATGGCCGCCCCTCGTACGCAAATAGTGTAAACATCTGGTATATCAAGGTTGTATACCCTCTGGAGGTCACACTTTTGTGCTGATTTTGGTGAAACTTGAAATATATCTTTATCACCCAAAGATCGTGGTTCCTGTCGATATTCGCGCATATCGGATCGTAACTTTCTGAATTATGGCCCTTGATTGTTCGAAAAATCGCTTTTTGTTTAGCTTGTTCTCTATCCATCAATTGCAAAATGTGCGCGTATCCTGCCTGGCAGCCGCTGGTTTTTCTTCCCTTTCTGTTTCGCACTATTTTGCTTTAATGGCGAAGAAACGTGTAAAAATAACTTTATATAAAACATTCAGACTTTTTTAAATTTCAAATATGTCACAATAAGCTGAATTTGTCAGTACCATACTCACGCTTCCAAATTTGGAATATGTCACTATGCAATATTGGGAAATACAGTTTCAAGTAGCCAGCATCAAGAAGAAAAGAAATAACCTCTCAAAAATTAAGGCTTGAAATGCTATGAGCACAAAGTTACTCAACATCTTTAAATGTAGATGCAATTTCAAAAACATTCTACATTTTGGCTTACACATTAGTATATGTGCCCGAACAAGACAGATATACCGACGTAAATATGGGAACACTGAATAAAGTACCCCCGTTTCTACGATGTTATATTGTGGACAATCATTATAGACCGGAGGCTCAGTGCGGGGGTGTCCATCAATTGTGGGCACAAAACCAGACCCACCTTTTCTTAGTAAATTTTTTCGTAGAATACGTTGCCTTGTGGTAAACAGTCCGCCGTTGGGCGTTGTCGAGATATTCGGGGTCAAGGGTCAAATGGGGCCATTTGCACTGAAAGTGAATGCGGACGGTAAACACTAATAGAAGATGATGATGTATCGATTCACTAGAACGTCCATTAATGCGATATACAGGCTGTTCTTTTCTTTTCATTTGTGAATTCAGTATGTAAATCTAAATCATTGATTATTTCATTCCAAATCTAATTATCATCTTGGAATAGTTTCAATTAATTTTCTAAATATAATCTGTAATACAAGCCATCATTGCTATCTTTGTCTTTGTTAGGCAAACTAGGTACATAACGGATGATGAGGACTGTTGGAGGGGGTACTATAGTCTTCTTCCTACCGACATTGTATAATCTTGAGTTACTTCACCCCGTCTGTTCATGTCCCGTTTATTCCCAATTTTACTGTTCCAGATGAGCATAAGATAAACAATAACCCTTTATTATTTTACAGGTGAACAATCTCCTGCACATATCAGAGTGGCACTCATTGGCAAGACTGGAGTTGGTAAAAGCCACTTGGGAAATTTACTTCTACATAGAGATTATTTTAAGTGCAGTAATTCGCTTCATTCGTGTACATCAGTCTGTTCAAATGGAGAACGCGCTTTAGATGAAGATACGAATTTGAACATCATGGATACTCCAGGTCTTTTTGATACAAGAGATAACAATACAGAAACGGTTAAAAAATTTCTTTCCATCTTCAAATTTACTGGTATTCACATATTTTTAATGGTTGTCAAAATTGATGTGAGGTTTACAGAAGAGGACGAAAATGCCCTGCGGTCTCTATGCGACGTGTTTGGCGAAGACATAAATGACCATCTTATTGTCATAATGAATAACCAGAGCCAGGGGATCAAATCCAAAGAAAACTTGCTTCCTGAATTACCGACGTCGTTAAAAGATATTTTAGATCGTTGTAAATACAGATGTTTAGTTGTAAATTATGTTACTGATGTCACGGTCGATGGTAACGAAGAGATCGAAGCAATTATAAACACTATACAATCAACCGTTACTGGAAACAAAGGACGCTCTTATACACATCAAATGTACAAGGAAGCTGAAAAGGCATACACTGAAACATTTAAAAAACAAACATGTGATTTCGCGAAGACAATTAGACGACTTCAACGTGAAAATAATGAGTTGAAAAAATCTAGTCTATCAACTATAACACTACCAAAACCTAAACGAGAAAAAACTAAATACCAAACAGGTTCGTTCTAGAATTTACACTGTTTAATAAATAATGTGGGATTTTGTGATAGATGAAGAATTGACTAGTTGTCAGATCAATACTACCTGTAGGAATTGTTGCCTCCGCCTTTCGAAGAAAGCAGGGGACTATTAAAATGGGTTCGTGTGTCTGTCTGTCTATCCGTCACATTAACTCTCTTTTTAATTGAGCTAGAATGTTTAAACTTGGTGTATGTGTTTATTAGACCAATTCTTTGATGGAGTCCGAAGATGAGATAAGCAATTTGATTGCTTGGTGCTTTGGGACACGAAAACTTTAGTTCTTATTAATTGAGAGTGATAAAACTTGGTGTATAGTTTCATGACATCACAATGTAACCCAGGTATCATTTAATCGTCTGTATCTAGCACTACTTTCTTTCACAGATGTTTAATATCAAATTTGTTTGAAAAAAATTCGTAAAAACTGATTAAAATCACCATAAATCGTTTGATTTGTACTTCTGTCCATTTTAAAGCTGACCATTCAATTTTGATTATGAGTGTCCAATTTACAAGTGTTTAATTTCTAAATCACTGTTAATAAATGAACAATCCAATTGATAAATGATATATAATGATTAATTTTTGTACAGTGGTCAGGAAATTGAACACTTGTAAATTGAACAATCATTATCAAAATTAACCAGTCAGCTTTAAACTGGACACAAGTACAGATTAGAGCTGATGATTTTTGGTGATTTTAAACGATTTTTACGAATTTTTAAACAAAGATTTGATATTAAACGAATGTGAAAGAAATTAGTGCTAAATACACAAGATTAAATGATACCCAGGTTACAGTGTCAATACCTGTTCGATAATGAACATTTTCTGCTGAGAGTAAGCAGAGCGATAAGCAATTTGATTGGTCCAGACTTTAGAACACAATAACTCTCCTTCTAATTGAGGTAGAATGTTCAAACTTGGTGTAGGCGTTCATTAGTTGAACATTGCCTGCTTACGGTAAGCAGAGATAAGCGATCTGGTTGATGCTTTGGGGCACGATAACTTTGGTTCTAATGAAGTGAGAGCGATGGAACTCCGAATATAGATTCATTATATCATTACCTTGACTAAGTTTGATGGCGAGAATTTTCCGCTTAAGCAATTTGATTGGCCAAGACTTTGGAACATAACAACTCTACTTTTAAATGAGGCAGAATGTTTAAACTTGATGAAGATGTTCATTAGGTGAATGTCTCGACTGAGTTCGATGATTAACATTTTGAGCTGAAGCTAAGCAGAGCTAATCAATGTCATTGGTCGATGCTTTGGGACAAGATAATCTTGATTCTATCTGATAGAGAGTGATGAAACTTAGTGATTGTTCGATACTTTTGAAAAAAAATGAATGTGCGATTAATTAATACGTGTCATCTATTTATTTTGGGATTTCGGTGGGGGACATCCGCCTCACTGTTGGCTTGTTTATATATGAGGTATAATCAAGACACTACCTGCGCCCCTACAACAATGTAACGAATGCATGTTCATACTAAAGCAAATTAGTACTGTTACTATTATTTATCAAATAGCTTTTACCGAGAAATCATCTAACTAAATTGAATTGTCTGTACTTGGGTGGCCACTCTGTACATTGGAAAGGGGGGCGGGGTGAAATTTTGGCTTTAGCCTTTAGCGGTCAAGCAACGCATTAAAACCAACCGATAGAAGGACAAAGCATGGAGGGATCGTAAAATCGAAGATGGTCGTCAAATAGCCACAGCACGACATATCCTTTCATAGCATTTCAGAAATAGCATTTGGTGTACCACTTATTCTCTTATCTTATTTTTTGACGTCTGTAAACTATTATAGACACCAAAATTGATACCCTAGCATGTATGGGCGGTTTATATAGAATTTCACCCTTCCCTGTAAAATGGCATGAGAGCATTAACATTTTTATAGCCAAGGGATTGTAGCTTCAATCTTTCGTTAGGGCTAAATTCCACAAGGAAATCCTAATTTGCTTTTACAATGTTTGGTCTGGATGAGTATGTATTCGTCGGTCAGATAGAGTGACACTTTTGTTTTGCTTTATTTTCATTATTATATCATTATACTTCAATATTCAGGTAGAAGAATATTATTAAAATTATTCCATTTCGTTTCGTTAAAGATGCCGAAAATTTACTTCATGATGCCTCAAGTAAGCAGTTTGTAGAGACAAGAGCTTTCAGAGAAGGGAGGCGTATTTTGGAAAAACATTTTATCTTGGGTATAATTGGCGCTGTAGGAGATGGTAAAACAGTAATGTGTCGGATGGTCGCCAATTCGTTCTTGACGGTTCATAAAAATTTTATTCCATTGGAAATAGGACACCCGAGGGACCTGGATTCCGTAACTTTTACAGATGAGGATAGCTACTTATTGATTATTGATGTAATGTTTGGTATATGGACACGTACAATAAAAGAACAAATGCAAGAATGGCCAAAAAATTTTGAGTTATTATATTTAGCAAAACAAAAACGTAAATCGGCAATAATCTATGTTATGAGACATGATGTCTACCAGGCTTGTCAGCATCTTCTTGGGAAGTATGAAATATTCTCTACATTATATCGGTTACAGCTTCATGAGACACAATTCCAGTTGTCAAATGATGAAAAAAGGGATATTTTGCGATACCATTTGGGAAACTGTTCCGACAATATGCTGGGGAAGATGGTGGAACACAGTTCAGGATGCTTTGGTTTTCCAGGTATTGTCAGTCTTTGTAGTAAAAGTAGTAAAACTTACACAGAAGAAGAAATTTGGATGCTAAATGGTCTATTTGATTTTTTGAACAGGGAATACGACATATTCTGGAAGGAAGATAGAATTAAGTATATGGCTTTATTTGTTGTATTTAGTCCACGGCCTCTCTCCGAGGATGGAATACGACAAAAGACGAATCACTTACTACAAAATCAGATACAACAAGCAATGGGGTATTCCGGTGGAGTAGAAGATATTCTCGATTCGTGCAAAAATTTAACTGGTTCTTACGTAATATGTGATGAGGAAAATGAGAAGCGCATGTCTTTATCAGAAAAGGTGATCAGACCCTTTCTGCTTCATGTCTCTCAGCGATTTATAGAACTGACAATAAAATTTTGTCCCTTTGATCTCTTAATAGATCACGTGTCTACCGTACCGGATGATCACAAGGTTTTCATAAAGTCCTCTCGTTATGTTGATCTATATGAAAGATTCTCTCGTGAATTGCAGGAGAAGAATGAAGCTGTGTTATTCCACCAAGCATTTCTTGACAGTAATTTCTTGCAAAAGGTACTTAATGTAGATAGTGGTGACATGCTGCTAAATCCCGAGCTAAAGATACAGCTTGGTGGTGATCCAATGGACGAGGGACATTTTCTGCATTATGTATGCTTATTTGGATATTTGAAAGAGATGCAAATAGTTTTCGCATACTCCAGCAAAAGTACTGCAATTTTATGTGACATAAAAACAAAGCTTGGGTTTGATTTATTAAGCCTTGCTGTTAAATCCAAGAACGAGGCAAAAGATAAAATAAAATATTTACGTGATGAGAAAAATGTTATGGAATGCCAGAGTAAAACTGAAATTCAACAACTTATTCGTACAGCAGCCAAGGCAAACAATTTGGATACTCTGAAACATGTTAGTTCTTTTACAGATATTGACATTAGCTCTGTGGATCTTAACCAGCAAACTTTTCTACACCATGCCTGTGATTCGGATTATGATGTCCCAGAAATCGTCCAATATCTCATTGCAAAAGGCGCGGATGTCGAGGCAAAGGATAAAAATGGCTGCACTCCTCTAAATCTAGCAGTTAAACGAGGAAAATTCTTGACAATAGATTGTCTCATAAAACTAAAAGCTTCTGTCACCGTGGCTGACAAAGACAGCAAATTACCCATTCATGTAGCTGCCAACTCAAATGCAGGCCGTTTGGATATTGATACACCTGGTATAATAGAACTGTTGGTGGGCGCTGGATCACCTGTTAATGCTAAAGATGCTAGCGGTAGAACACCACTGGTAGAAGCCCATGCTAAATTTGACGAAAAGACGATTGGTGTGTTAATTAAAAAAGGAGCAGGTAAGATCCAGTCTTTAATCTTGTAAGGATTCCGACCCTGGTTGTGAAGATCTGTAACACCCTCGACATGTAAGCATCGCGTAGTTAAACGAAATGGGGTTTAACGTCCTACTGTTCTGCTCCTAACCTGGGCTAATGAAGACGGGCATACGCCATACAGTGTGCTATGAGGGAAATTTTGCCCGGACAGCGGCACTACGGCCTACTCTTATATCGAATTCCAACTGCCAAGGGATCTTTTACGTGCACGCCAATGTGTACACGGGACCTCGGTTTTTCGTCCCATCCGAACGACTAGACAGCTTTCCTTGTCAGCCCCTCCGTCCTGCATCACTGACAAGGGAGAACCACGCCGGAAAATCTGGATGAACTTTCTCGGCCAATGCAGGGATCGAACACCCGACCTCCAGGCTAGCGAGCTAGCGTCTTACCCACTTAGCCACGTGATCCCCGCGTAGTTAAACAAGGTTTAATGAAAATAAATTGATTGTATACATGTACCTCTTTTACAGGTGCACCTCCGCTACTTTAGGGCTGGCTTGTATTATAAAATATCCTTAAAATTAAAACCGAATGAATGAAGTCTTAACACGATTGTTTCTGCGCATGTCTAAAATACGTTATTAATTGTCGAATGGCATAATTTTGGGACATTTTAATAATGTGAATATCTCTGTGTTCTTTTAAATTTCGAATGTCATTGCTCGCATAATATATATATATACTGATGTCCAAAAGAAAGTATACACTGTGAATTTTGTGCTGCATCAACCAAAGTCGTTTTTCCATGGTATACGGTATTTGGGTAGAATGTCAATTTGTTTCACATTTTTATTTTGCTTAGAAATGTTGAGTTTGGACGCAAGAGACAAACCCAGTAATGCTTTATCAAATGTTTTTAATCTAATCAAACCTTAGTGATACTGTTAGTGTGTATACTTTCTTTTGGACATCCAAACATATTTAAGAACGTTCGCTGCGCTTGTTCATACAATTTCTTCAATCTCCTCTAGATGATCGACAAGCCAAACACGTGCAATCAGATGCTATATATATTTTAAGTTTCAGCAACCTCGGATACAAATTATGGCCTCTTTTGGGTCAACAACCTAAAAAACGTTACTTTTCGTGAAATCAGGGGTCATAATTCACGAAGTTACGGTCCGGCATATGCCAATATCGTCAGGAATCCTTGGAATATAAACATATAGCCTATTTTTAAGTTTCGTGAAAATCGAATAGTAATTGGGACCTCTAAAGTTTCTACAAACAAATGTGAACGACATGGACGTATAAAATAGAACGATTTGGATAACATTTACACCAGTTCGTGCCCCAGGCCCCCATCCCCAAAAGAGTCTGGCGGATCCCTTTACACCCCCACCCCTGGACTTTGGTATTTAACTCATCAGAGTTTATATTGGAAATGACAAACATCTGTAGTAACAGATCAATCCTAAAGACTAACTTAAGCTCACCTAAGTAACTATTTTATAGTAGACCAAACTCCTTCGGATGAACAACTTTCTACGGATGAACAGTTGTCTACAGATGGCCAACCTCTTATGGTTAAAGATCATTCTATAAATGAACAGTCTCATTCAAATGGAATTCATCTTACGGATGAACAGCTTTCTACAGACGAACAGCTTTTTACAGATGACCAGCTTCTTACAGCTGACAAACGTTCTGCAGATGGACAACCTACACGAGATCACAAAGGTAAGAATGCGTTTCTATGGTTTACCAACTTTGAGCATGTGCCAGCTTTTCCTGTATTTATCGCATTAGTGGGTTCGTTTTGCCAAAAATGCGTCTTATGATCGACATTGAAATGAAATGGGTTTAACGTTATAGTGTTCTGCTGCAACTGGGCTAACAAAGGAAATATTATTCAGACAGCGCCGCAACGGCTTGAGCTTATTTCGAATTGAGTCGGGGCACCCAGATAAATAAATTGTAGTGATGACATTTAAATAGTAATTGTAAATGACAATGTAATTACATTGGCCATTTAATAGCCACATCCCTGAGTGTACTTCCCGTAAGTCTAATGCTACATATTGGGAGTATAAAGATAATCTTCCTGTGTGTCGACGGGGACGTTAGATCATAAAGTCTGTCATTGAATCAAGTGGTGTTATGTGGGTTTCCTGCTTGTTACGTAACAAGGAGTAGGGTCGCATGTCTAAAATTGTTTCTTTCCTCCAACCATCTGTTTCCAAAAAAGGAACCTTGTTATCCTGTAGTATTACATTTTGAGCAAACATTAATACCATTTGACACAGGATAGGAAACGGGGATAAAAGCTCAAAGAGCTTGCAATGTACCGGGTCTAGTAAGGGACCTGGAAAAATAAATGGCTGAATTAAGAAAAAAAAGGTCCAAAATTGTGAAAAATATATTCGATTTTGTGCATTCCTGTGTATATTCTTGGCGAGTAACACAAGTTAAATGAAAAATAAATATTGTGTATTTTTTTTGTATTAAAACATAAGTTTCAAACATCAGTCGACCAAGTCGTACCAAAGCCAGGCATATCTAATTCAATTCTTGTACTCAACCATAAATGTTTGGGGGTCTGGGACATTTGTGTGTAAGACGCTAGTCTGGAGGTCGCGGGTTCGCTCCCGGTGATGGCCGAGAAAGTTCATCAAGATTTTTCCGGTGTGGTTTCCCTTGGCAGTGGTGCAGGACGGAGGGCCTGTCTAGCACAGCTGTTCTTGTCAGGCCCTCCTCCTGTATCACTGACAAATGGGAACCACGATGTGAATATCTTTGAAGTCTACGTGTTTTTTGGTGGTTTTTTTTTTTAAATTTCAAATGGTATTGCTCGTATTGCATATTTAATTTTATATTTAAGAACGTTGGCTGCGCTTGTTCATTACAATCTCCTCAATTTCCTCTAGATGATCCACATGCCAAACACGTGCAATCAGAGACTATATATTTTAAATTTCATCAAACTCGGATACAAATTATTAATTCTTTAGGGTCTACAACCTAAAAAACGTTATTTTTCGTAAAATCGGTCCGGCATATGCCAATATCGTCAGGAATCCTTAGAATATAAACATATATTTTTAAGTTTCGTGAAAATCGTATAGTAATTGGGACCTGTAAAGTGTTTACAAACAAATGCGGACGTATAAAATAGAACGATTTGGATAACATTTACACCAGTTCGTGCCCCGGGCCCCCATCCCCAAAAGAGTCTGGCGGATCCCTTTACACCCCCACCCCTGGACTTTGGTATTTAACTCATCAGAGTTTATATTGGAAATGACAAACATCTGTAGTAACAGATCAATCCTAAAGACTAACTTAAGCTCACCTAAGTAACTATTTTACAGTAGACCAAACTCCTTCGGTTGAACAACTTTCTACGGATGAACAGTTGTCTACAGATGGCCAATCTCTTATGGTTAAAGATCATTCTATAAATGAACAGTCTCATTCAAATGGAATTGATCTTACGGTTGAACAGCTTTCTACAAACGAACAGCTTTCTACAGATGACCAGCTTCTTACAGCTGACAAACGTTCTGCAGATGGACAACCTACACGAGATCACAAAGGTAAGAATGCGTTTCTATGGTTTACCAACTTTGAGCATGTGCCAGCTTTTCCTATATTTATCGCATTAGTGGGTTCGTTTTGCCAAAAATGCGTCTTATGATCGAAATGGGTTTAACGTTCTAGTGTTCTGCTGCAACTGGGATAACGAGGAAAATATTGTTCAGACAGCGCCTCAACGGCTTGAGCTTATTTCGAATTGAGTCGGGGCACCCAGATAAATAAATTGTAGTGATGACATTTAAATAGTAATAGTAAATGACAATGTAATTACATTGGCCATTTAATAGCCACATCCCTGAGTGTACTTCCTGTAAGTCTAATGCTACATATTGGGAGTATAAAGATAATCTTCCTGTGTGTCGACGGGGACGTTAGATCATAAAGTCTGTCATTGAATCAAGTGGTGTTATGTGGGTTTCCTGCTTGTTACGTAACAAGGAGTAGGGTCGCATGTCTAACATTGTTTCTTTCCTCCAACCATCTGTTTCCAAAAAAGGAACCTTGTTATCCTGTAGTATTACATTTTAAGCAAACATTAATACCATTTGACACAGGATAGGAAACGGGGATAAAAGCTCAAAGAGCTTGCAATGTACCAGGTCTAGTAAAGGACCTGGAAAAATAAATGGCTGAATTAAGAAAAAAAAGGTCCAAAATTGTGAAAAATATATTCGATTTTGTGCATTCCTGTGTATATTCTTGGCGAGTAACACAAGTTAAATGAAAAATAAATATTGTGTATTTTTTTTGTATTAAAACATAAGTTTCAAACATCAGTCGACCAAGTCGTACCAAAGCCAGGCATATCTAATTCAATTCTTGTACTCAACCATAAATGTTTGGGGGTCTGGGACATCTGTGTAAGATGCTAGTCTGGAGGTCGCGGGTTCGCTCCCGGTGATGGCCGAGAAAGTTCATCAAGATTTTTCCGGCGTGGTTTCCCTTGGCAGTGGTGCAGGACGGAGGGCCTGTCTAGCACAGCTGTTCTTGTCAGGCCCTCCTCCTGTATCACTGACAAATGGGAACCACGATGTGAATATCTTTGAAGTCTACGTGTTTTTTGGTGTTTTTTTTTTTAAATTTCAAATGGTATTGCTCGTATTGCATATTTAATATCTATATTTCAGAACGTTGGCTGCGCTTGTTCATTACAATCTCCTCAATTTCCTCTAGATGATCCACAAGCCAAACACGTGCAATCAGAGACTATATATTTTAAATTTCATCAAACTCGGATACAAATTATTAATTCTTTAGGGTCTACAACCTAAAAAACATTATTTTTCGTAAAATCGGTCCGGCATATGCCAATATCGTCAGGAATCCTTAGAATATAAACATATATTTTTAAGTTTCGTGAAAATCGAATAGTAATTGGGACCTGTAAAGTGTTTACAAACAAATGCGGACGTATAAAATAGAACGATTTGGATAACATTTACACCAGTTCGTGCCCCGGGCCCCCATCCCCAAAAGAGTTTGGCGGTTTCGGTTACACCCCCACCCCTGGACTTTGGTATTTAACTCATCAGAGTTTATATTGGAAATGACAAACATCTGTAGTAACAGATCAATCCTAAAGACTAACTTAAGCTCACCTAAGTAACTATTTTACAGTAGACCAAACTCCTTCGGTTGAACAACTTTCTACGGATGAACAGTTGTCTACAGATGGCCAATCTCTTATGGTTAAAGATCATTCTATAAATGAACAGTCTCATTCAAATGGAATTGATCTTACGGTTGAACAGCTTTCTACAAACGAACAGCTATCTACAGATGACCAGCTTCTTACAGCTGACAAACGTTCTGCAGATGGACAACCTACACGAGATCACAAAGGTAAGAATGCGTTTCTATGGTTTACCAACTTTGAGCATGTGCCAGCTTTTCCTATATTTATCGCATTAGTGGGTTCGTTTTGCCAAAAATGCGTCTTATGATCGAAATGGGTTTAACGTTCTAGTGTTCTGCTGCAACTGGGCTAACGAGGAAAATATTGTTCAGACAGCGCCTCAACGGCTTGAGCTTATTTCGAATTGAGTCGGGGCACCCAGATAAATAAATTGTAGTGATGACATTTAAATAGTAATAGTAAATGACAATGTAATTACATTGGCCATTTAATAGCCACATCCCTGAGTGTACTTCCTGTAAGTCTAATGCTACATATTGGGAGTATAAAGATAATCTTCCTGTGTGTCGACGGGGACGTTAGATCATAAAGTCTGTCATTGAATCAAGTGGTGTTATGTGGTTTCCCTGCTTGTTACATAACAAGGAGTAGGGTCGCATGTCTAACATTGTTTCTTTCCTCCAACCATCTGTTTCCAAAAAAAGAACCTTGTTATCCTGTAGTATTACATTTTGAGCAAACATTAATACCATTTGACACAGGATAGGAAACGGGGATAAAAGCTCAAGTAGCTTGCAATGTACCGGTTCTAGTAAGGGACCTGGAAAAAATAAATGGCTGAATTAAAAAAAAAAAGGTCCAAAATTGTGAAAAATATATTCGATTTTGTGCATTCCTGTGTATATTCTTGGCGAGTAACACAAGTTAAATGAAAAATAAATATTGTGTATTTTTTTTGTATTAAAACATAAGTTTCAAACATCAGTCGACCAAGTCGTACCAAAGCCAGGCATATCTAATTCAATTCTTGTACTCAACCATAAATGTTTGGGGGTCTGGGACATTTGTGGGTAAGACGCTACTCTGGAGGTCGCGGGTTTGCTCCCGGTGATGGCCGAGAAAGTTCATGAAGATTTTTCCGGTGTGGTTCCCCTTGGCAGTGGTGCAGGATGGACGGCCGTTCTAGGACAGCTGTTCCTGTCAGGCCTTCCGTCCTGTATCACTGACCAGGGGGAACCACGCCGGAAAATTTGGATGAACTTTCTCCGGGATACCATTTTAGAAACATTGATATTCAAATGTAATGTCTATAACGATGTGAGATTCGTATTTCGTAAAACAATCACCTTCCACTCTTCCATGTCGTTCTGTTCATCATGCTTATTTAAAATCCCGAAGTTCTGAATTCATACTGCCATACACATATGTAAAGTAAGAATTGTTTATGCTAGGTTCCCAATACCACGAATCGTGTTTTTAATCGTGAAGTAATCGTGGTGATCCTATCAGGTCTTATCATATATTGAGGTCAGTTGTAGCAATCGTGTTGAGCGTATCGAAACGTATCCGAGCGTATCTGCACGTACTAGATCGTAGACTCATTAGAGACAATCCTATCATAACGCATCGCACGACAGTGGGAACCTAGCATTACGAAACTCAGGCCCGCCAACGAAACCAAGCTTGGCAGGTACCAATAAAGGACATGCTCTGTAACTCATCTCATAACAGATTCATCTACCAATACCCTCTTGCCTCATATATGTATTGCTGTATTATATTGATAACGTGGAGGGAATACTCATCAAAACATTAGGGCTGCAACGATTCACAACTACCTCGATTCAGTTCGGTTCGATTATCGATTTTAACCATTGATTCGATTATTTTCGATTCGATTATCAGCTACAATAACCAGTAATTTTTCCTGTATATAATTCATTAAAAACAATAAAAACACAAGACTAAAATTCTCTTGAACACTTTTATTGGTTTGACAGGTTTGTTGTGTTGCCACATCTTCAGAGTTTTTTCTTACATCAAAATGATCCCAAACTTTAGATTTCAAATGACCAGGTGGTCGAGAAAGTACGTCGTCTGCCGTAATTTTACCTTCCAGTCTTTACTTGACAACGGGTAATAATCGCTAAACACGAAAATATCCGAAGATAATGACCGGAATTATCAGCTAATGAGATCGTTTAGAATTTAGATAACCATTACCGAAGCTATTGACCTAAATTAATATCCAATGAACATTCGGTACGTCACCAATTTTAAATAAATTAACTTTCGTCAGCATACGGAAATTGTTTTAAAGGGAGGTCACTCTGTTTTAGTTATGTTTTCGAGTGACATTCGTGTTTTGTTAACTAGGCTAACGTAAATTAAAAGTTATGTAAAAACAATTTTTTTTTAAAATTTTAAGTGGACTTAATTGCTACAGGTCTTTCATTTTTTTTCATATGGTAAGGTGTACGTTGTTTTTATTTGAAATTTAATTTGCAATTAAACCGAATCGAAATTTGAACGTTGTAGATCGTGGATCGAACCGAGACGGCTAGTGTCGGTTATCGGTGCACCGAACTGAATCGTTGCAGCTCTACAAAACATCACTTTAAAATACCAGAGGCGCCCCGCCCCCCCTAATTTTCGACAGTGCCCTTTTTTACTGCTGAAAGTGCCCTTTTGTCAGACCCAAATATGTCCATTCCCAACCCATTGCAGGGATCCCAAATGACTCAAACCATCGATTCAAACACACCAGTCTGGTCTAATTAATGCTTCCACTTTCAAACGAATTCTTGTTGTTTAGCTGACGGTGCCCTAATCCTTTGTGGAATCGGCGGCGTATACACTCGTGCCCATCACCGACGCGCATGAGTGCAACTTGATGTAGCATTGTTTCATGTGTGGACAGTACAAGTTACAAGGCTTAAATAGGCATGAATTGGCTAGGGAATAGATTCGTCTTTTTTCCCATCATAATGCCTCGCTCGCCTTGACGATTTTCGAGTCGCATGTTCAACTGCCTTTTTTGCTCGATTTTAAGGCTCTTTTTCAACGATTTCCGAACGTTTACTTAGACGAAAATATCAGCCAAATAACTCTTGAAATGGCTACAGATGCAAGGAAATGACGGATAATTTTCTTGGGGACCCCCCCCCCCCCCAAAAAAAAATCCCCTCTCAGCGGCGTGCCCCGTCTCTGCGGTCAGTGCCCTTATTTTGCGGCGACCCCCCCTTTTCAAAATTCCTAGATCCGCCCCTGAATACACTAGTAGCTGTTTTCCATCAGTATGTGTTTTTGATTTTAATACCTTTTTGTTAATATTTATAACCATTTCTTGTAGATGATGTTGAAGCAACCGCGAGGGAAAAAAAGAACCAGATAGAAGATTCCAGCAACGAATTTCCGCTCCATCATTCAGCGTATGTTGACGATATACATAAATTCATATCAGTATTAGACCAGTATAAAGATAGTATAAAAATAGTAGATAACGATGGTAAAACGCCTTTAGAAAGAGCTTGTTTTTCTGAATTTGAAATTGTACATAAAGTAAAGCTTCTTGTTTTTAGAGGTTATACATCCTGTAAAATGCTTGTTAATATATGTCAATCAGCCCCAAATGATTTACTTAAACTTATATTTGATAAAACTATATATGATACAATGAACGAATTTGATCAAACCGGGATACTAGAGATTAGAAACCGTTTATTACAAGGTGGAGGTTTAGATGATCTAGATACAAACAAAAAAACATTATTGCATTATGCCTGTCAATATAGCACTTTAACGACTGTTCAGTATTTGATTGATAATAACTGTAACGTGAACTGTGTAGGTGGTAAGTATAAAATAACACCAGTATTCTATTGCTGTTATAAAGATGTACCTCAAGCAGTTGAAAAGATGCAAATCTTGGTGAGTAATGGAGCTAATTTAGATGTTACAGATATAGATAAGACACCCCTGTTACATAAAGCTTTTTTGTTAAGTACAGTAGAGGCTGTTCAGTTTTTGATTGATAATAACTGTAATGTGAATTGTGTAGGTGGTAAGTATGATAGAACACCACTATTCTATTGTTGTGATAAAGATGTACCACAAGCGGTTGAAAAGATGCAAGTTTTGGTGAGTAATGGAGCTAATTTAGATGTTACAGATATAGATAAGACACCCCTGTTACATAGAGCTTGTGCGTTAAGTACAGTAGAGGCTGTTCAGTTTTTGATTGGTAATAACTGTAATGTGAATGGTGTAGGTGGTAAGTATAATAGAACACCACTATTCTATTGTTGTCATAAAGATGTACCACAATTGGTTGAAAAGATGCAAATCTTGATGAGTAATGGAGCTAATTTAGATGTTACAGGTATTAATAAGACACCCCTGTTACATATAGCTTGCTATCTAAGTACAGTAGAGGCTGTTCAGTGTTTGATTGATAATAACTGTAATGTGAATTGTGTAGGTGGTAAGTATGATAGAACACCACTGTTCTATTGTTGTGATAAAGATGTACCACAAGCGGTTGAAAAGATGCAAATCTTGGTGAGTAATGGAGCTAATTTAGATGTTACATATATGGATCAGACATCCCTGATTCATAAAGCTTGTGCGATAAGTACAGTAGAGGCTGTTCAGTTTTTGATTGATAATAACTGTAATGTGAATTGTGTAGGTGGTAAGTATAATAAAACAGCACTATTCTATTGTTGTGATAAAGATGTACCACAAGCGGTTGAAAAGATGCAAATCTTGGTGAGTAATGGAGCTAATTTAGATGTTACAGATATAGATAAGACATCCCTGTTACATAAAGCTTGTTTGTTAAGTACAGTAGAGGCTGTTCAGTTTTTGATTGATAATAACTGTAATGTGAATTGTGTAGGTGGTAAGTATGATAAAACACCACTATTCTATTGTTGTGATAAAGATGTACCACAAGCGGTTGAAAAGATGCAAGTTTTGGTGAGTAATGGAGCCAAGTTAGCCTTTAATGATGTCGAGAACTTCACACCACTGCACCAGGCATGTGCATTTAGTACGTTAGAAGTGGTAAAGTATTTACTTGATAGTAATTGTAATGTGAACACATTAGTATTCCTCAGCTGCTGTATCTCAGAAACACACCGTATTGATAAGATTAAACTATTGCTGTCTCGTGGAGCTGTATTAGAGAAAGCTGAAAAGTCATCTTGCATTAATACGGCAAAATCCCTTGGTTATTATGACACTGTAGAATTTGTGAAGACAATACCCGTTAAAAGATGGTAGCAGTTCAGCTGGTGATCATACTGTCATTGCAGACACGTCCGTTAATATTTGTTGCCATTGGTAGAATTAATAAAGTATAATTTCAAGAACAAATGATATCAATGTGCCTTTGAGATGTGCTCATCATTCTACCAAGGTATTCATTTGTTTAGAAATATACTTGTTCTAATATTATATTAAACACTATTTATTTAAACGGAAAATCAAGCCGATATTTTTAAGCTGATATGTTCCGTCTCAGTGGAATGCCTGTCGTATTGCTAACTTTAATACTCGTATTATTTAGATGAAACGTCAGCACGTATTGAAATATGTATCTACACTCTCTTGCCGAATAGTGTAACGCGTGGTGTAACGCGCGTACTTGGATGTTGTTGTTATTAGTGTTTAACGCCCGCTTCCACCGAAGGTGGTATCGCAGACAAGTTTTATTCCTGTGGGAGGAAACCGGAGTACCCGCACGAGGTTGAGAAGGCGTCCCCTATCTCCAAGCCACATACGCTCACACCAGGGATGGAAACCACAACCGGAAGAGGTGACCGGCCAGCTAGAGGTCGACGCGCGGCACACTAGACCACTAGGCCATTCCAACGCCCCTGTACTTTAGATCAATCCACGGATCTATATATAAATCAATGACGTAGCTTGAAGCAGCCACCGCGGTGTTTCTCGGTGCCCCCCCCCCGGTTTCCTCTCACTGCTAACGACCGTTACTCATTGAAATAAAAATCAACCTTATGTAGGTCCTGAAATGACTTAGTTTGTGAAGATTTGACGTTAAAGCCCCGTTTTACTTTCTTCTACTTACGTATTAACTGAACTTAACCAGTATTTAATAAAACGGGCTCAATATCGGTTAACTCGTCCATTTATTAAAAATACATTATGTAAGATTTAGATAAAGAGACAGTTCTCGTTATATAATAGTTTAAAGATACATAATGGAAAAGGGAATATGTTAGACATTTCTGTCAAATTACTTCATTCTGAGCAGCGTTATGAATGTTTGAAAAATAGCGGATGTTTCGATTTTCATTGCTACCGTTGTTATCGAATATTGATTTTTACATTAAATTATTAACCGCCAATCGTGTTTAAATCCGTTGAAAATCAAAGAGCTTCCGATAGCATAGAGAGTTGATTAGGGTCTTGGCAAGTTAGTTTTTTTATTAGATTTTATTTTCTTTGTGAATATATTTGTTCTACTCAATGTAATATAGTATAGCCTTCAACATTAAACCGACGCTATCTGTATGATGCTACACACTGTGATTGTAATATGTGAACTATGTACTATGCTGTTATTGATTATTTGAAATAAAGATTTAAAAAAAAAAAAAAAAAAAAAAAGTTAATACATATCTAATTAATAATTTAAATAACACTTAAGGCCAAAAGAAAGGTAGATTTAGCTCTTTAAAATAAATTTGAGTGAATTATAAAATAAATTGTATATCTTCTATACAAAAAAGTATGCTTGTTGATTGGCCATAATATATAGGAAACTAAACGGTTGTAATAATTTTCTATTTGTGGTGGAAGTTTTCTCAGGGGTGCTGTAAAATTGACGGACAATTTATTCCCACCTTAGTTACGGGCATGTATTTATTTTGTATTTGGTGCATTAATGTAATTACTGCGTTGTTATGGAAACATCCTAGAACATATCATAGTCTTCTGGACAAGCTAGGGTATGGGTTATAGAATCTGTCGTTATATATACACTATACTTGTCAGCTAGGATATTGACTATAGAATCTTCCGTTATTTATACACTATACTTGTCAGCTAGGATATTGATTATAGCATCTGCCTTTATTTATACACTAGGCTATACTTATCAGATAATCATCATCTTATTTACTATGTCATACTTAATATTCGATCTAGAACATCTGATACCACTTATCACCTGAACAGTTCACATAGCTAATATAAGGTGTATGTTTGTATTTACGTCAACAGGGAGTTGGCATACATGTTAAATGTGGGTTATAATATGATCTATAGAAACAATATGATAATTGTATAACCTTTATAAACAATATGCTTTACTTCACAGGGCTATACCTCTATAAATAATATTATCTTAAAGGCTCAATACCACTCTTGTTGTAACTGAATAATATGTCCCAATCTTTATTCTGGTCAACAAATTGTACTATTTTACAATATTCCAATTAATTGGTGATATAAATTTCATCTTAACACACCTAATTTAAAAAATTCAACTCAATGATTTGAAAAGCCTGACGTAAAGCTTTTCAAATGTTACTTGGATTTAAAAATATTTTTGAACCCTCTGGACAAGTAAAATAGGATTTAATGGATAATTTACATAACAGGTAGGACACTAACACATCTCGTACTTAGAATAAGGCTATTTTTTTTATTTTCTAGAGCTGTCAAGCCAGCAAGAGTGTTATTGTCCCTTTAATAGACAGGGGTCTGTTTCACGAAATTTTACATAAGATAAAATCCAAATTTTAGTAATTTGATTGGATAATATTTGATTGATTTTAGTGCTCAGCCAATCAACATTGAAGTATCTACTAAAACTTGCATTTTTTCTTTAGTTAAGATTTCGAGAAACAGGGCCCTGGTTTATAAACTATACAAATAGCGTGCATTGCACAATAACAAGCTCCTTCATACGAATTATATTATACTATATCTGTGCTTTATCTCATCTTAATAATATAATTTTTTATAAAGTGTTACCTCATCTTAATATTACCATTTTTTATAATTGTTACCTTATCTTAATATTATCATTGTTTGTAATTGTTACCTTATCGCGCATGTATATTGCCTATAAGGCTATGTTACCTTACAATCATTGTTACCTTGTCTTAATATTATCATTCGTTCTTATTCTTACCATATCTTAACATTATAATTGTTATTTTGCCATAACATTATAATTTTTCTTTACAAATTGTTATCTTGTCATAACATTATAATTATCTATATAATTGTTACCTTTTCCTAATATTATCATATAAATATGATAAATTGTTGCCTCATCTTATAGACCAAGAGCCAGTGACGAAAAAACTGCCTCATAAGTAATAGAAGGTTTGACTATATCAATTGGCAGCTATTGATAGGGCAAATTCAAAACACCCAGTCTTACGAGGTTTCAGTGGGGCATTTGGCTGGGAGGGGCAGATAAAAAGGGCCAAAAAGGACTAAAATTTGCCTCATAAGTAATAGGATCAGAATTATTTCTAAAATGTTGCCATACAATGTATGAATATAAAAAATATAAATCTGACCAGAAAAAGTGGGGCCATGCCCTTTTCTGACTGCCTTAAAAAGTGCTGACGGGGGCCAAAATTTGCCTCATAAGTAATATAGTTGAAATTGGTGCCAAATGTTAGCTATGTACGAGCCGATTTTAAAAATATCAAATCTGACTGGTTTCAGTGGGGCATATCCCTAATCTGACCACTTAAAATCTGCCCGATCTGCCACGCCCACAAAAAAGGTCAAAATTTGCATCATAAGTAATACGATCAGAAATAGTTTTGAAATGTTGTGGTGCTATATCTGAATCTTAAAATGTAAAATCTGACCGGAAAAAATGGGGCCACACCCCTTTCTGACTGCCCTAAAAAGTGTGTCCGGGGGCCCAAAAATGCCTCATAAGTAATAAGATTGAAATTGGTGTCAAATGTTAGCTAATTATGAG